GAACATACAGACTTTTCAAACAAGATTTAAAAATTGAAAATTACTTAATTAATATGCAGAACCATGGTCTTAGAAGGTTAATTGCAAAATTCAGGACAATCAACCATGACCTTAAAATTGAGAAAGGCAGACATAATAATGTGCCGCTGGATAAAAGAACATGTGATATGTGCAGCCAAAATATAGTTGAGGATGAGCAACATTTTGTAATGAAATGTCCAGCTTACAGTCACCATAGGGACAAATTATTCCTGACTGCACAAAATACAGTTCCAAATTTTGATAAAGAAAATAGTCAGAATAAATTCATTTTGATTATGGCAAACCATATTCTAGCACCAGCCTTAGCTGTCTTCTTAAAAAACAGCTATGGAACAAAACAGCAACAACTATCAGTGTATTAGGCTACATTTTGTGTTCATTGCGTATTCTGTATTCACCATTGGCTGCAAATTGTCTTTATTGTTTTTGATTTGCTTAATTTTTTTTTAGAAAAGTTTTTATTTTTTGTTTTACTTTTTAGATTGTAGTTTTTTTTTAAATTTCTTTCTGTAAAACCCTTTTTATCCTTTCCTAAGGATTGTATGCGTCTAATAAAAAAAAATATGTGGTTGTTACAAGGATACTTTAAAGTATGCACGAAGAGTATCCACCGATGCGCAGCGGAGGTCGATGCAACGGTGTAATGTCTGAGTGCATACTTTGAGGTATCATTATTATTATTATTATTATACATCATTTCATGCAAAGAGTTTGGAGCAGAATCAGCGAACTTCTTTGTGTGGAGTCCGGTCAAACCCTAGTTGCAGCCATGTTTGTTTTTATTATTAGAGGACGCTTACGCACGTAATTATTCCATATTTGGAATTCGCATTTCCTTATATGATAGGATGAAAATATCCCGTAAAATACCGCAAAATTACGGCACGCTATAACTTACGGCGTTACGGGGACAGATGTATAATAATGTTATCCCTGGTAGAATAGTGGTTGTCGCATCAGACTCATGATCGGGTAGACCCAAGTTCAAATCCCACCTTAGGCTAAACATCAAAGGGTCGACCCCTACCCTGGGTGAGTGAATCTCGACCTGCAGCGCCAACGGGCACTGACGTCACGT